CTTCAGTTATCTGTGAAAATCACAAGCTTTACAACAACATGGCCTAAACATCACTTCATCAAACTGAGGCAAAAGTAAAGTAGAATAACAAATATATGGGTTTTAAAATACTAAAAAGAACAGAGTTCAAGATAAAGATATAACTTACTGATGAATTATGTTTCAATATAACAAATTTAAGACAAAATGTTTTTGGACTTGAATTGAATTTATTCAAAGTTTTAAAAAATATTTCAAAAATAATTCAAAGTCCATTAAATTCGAATTTGAGCAAAAATGCTAAAGGGTATCAAAGGGTATTCATACACTCTGTAGTGTATCCATACACTGGTGTACCGATACACCCTGTAGGTGTATCCATACACCTATGACTGCTCAAACACCAAATGCAAAAAGGGTAGCGATACCCTTATGAGTGTATCCATACATTGGTGTACCGATACACCCTATAGTGTATTTATACACTCTGGCTGTAATGGCTAGTTTAATTTTAATTTAATGAAGGTGTACCGATACACTATAAAGTGGTAATGATACCCCCTGTTATGGTCAGCCTATTTTTGCAAAAAAATTATCCCCAAACGGTTCCAAAACATCCCCAACGGCTATATACGACTTCAAAATCATTTCAAGCTATAAATACAAGCTGAGGACACTTGAAGAAGTATGAGAACAACTATCTAAGCAATCAAACACAAGAGAAGAAGTTTTTCATTCTTATTTTCATTTTCTCTTGTAAATATTGTTCTAGTGAGCTTAATTCTTGTAAACACCTACCTTTGAGAGGTTTATTTGTTTACTTCTTATATCCTTTTGTAAAGGGGAAAGGTTCTAGCTAATCTCGTGAAACGCTAGGGAAAGGTTCTAGTTTAGCCCGTGAAAACTAGGGAGTTTGTAAAGGTTCTCTTTGTCCTGTAAAAAATAAAGAACAAATTAGTGAATTTGTTGGAAAATCCTTGGTGAGGAGCTAAGGTAGTGGAAGTAGACTTGGTTGAGAAGTCAAACCGCTATAAATTATTGTGCAATTTTTTTTATCTTTCAATCTCCTTTCTCCCTAAACACAAAAACTATTTCGATCCCTCTTTGCAAACTGTTTCAGTTGTCTATTCGAGCTTCTGCAAATCTCAACAATTGGTATCAGAGCTTAACTCATTAGAAGGCTTAACATCCTTAAGACGATCCTCGAAGAAGATCTACTGATTCCCGATGCAACCGATAAAGAAATGGCTTCAACCTCCGGTGCTTATTACTTTGAAGATATACCTATTATGGATTCGCAACCGGTCAACAAGCCACCATTATTCAATGGAGCAAATATGCTCATTTGAAGAATAAAATGATGTACTGTATTCGAGTCTATGATCTAGGAGCTTGGAACTCAATCACGAGGGGTTACTCCACTCCACCCAGTGAATACGACGATTGGAGTAATAAAGAGAAGAAAAGGTTACAGCTTAATTTAAGGCAATCCATATTCTCTTTTGTGCATTAGGTCCAAATGAATATGGAAGAATATCATCTTGTTCCAGTGCCAAAGAGATTTGGGATATGCTCCAAGTTACTCATGAAGGAACCAACGAAGTGAGGGAATCAAAGAAAAGTCTTCTCAACCATAGCTACGAGAACTTCAAGATGAAACCCGATGAACACATCAAAGCTATGACGGATATAAATTTCTGTGATTGTCAATGGTCTTAGGGGATTTTGAGAAGTAATCCCTAATGAGAAGCTTGTAAGGAAGATAATATACTCTCTTCCAAGTTCGTGGCAATCGAAGAAGACCGCTATTATTGAAGCTAGAGACCAAAAGTCTTTAACTCTCGATGAGCTAATTGGTTCCCTTCTCACTCATGAGATGATGTTGAAGGAATAGGAAGAAAGTGAAAAATAGAAAAACAAGAAGAAGGAGGAAGTAGGCATTGTCTTCAAATCCACCAATGAAAGCTATCAAGAATCAAGTGATGAGGTGGATGAAGACGATGATAAACAAGAACATGAGATGGTCAAGCTCTTAAAAGAGTTAAAGAGATCCATGACTTCCAAGGAAGTAAATCATGAATCAACCAAGAAGAAGAGTCCCCCAATATGCTTTAATTGTCAAAGAACATGACATGTCAAGTATGATTATCTCCTTATAAGAAAGAAGGGATCTTCCAAGAAGAAGGCATATGTGACAGCTTGGAGTGATAAAGATGATTCCAATGATGATGAAGTGGTCAACCTATGCCTAATGACCACTCATGAAGAATTCGAGGTATCTTCTAACTCAAATGAATTTAATTCATTTACTTTTGATGAGTTACAAGATGCTTATTATAGGATGTATTTGGGATTTGAGACCATGAATTCCAAATATACGAAATTAATTTCAAAACTCAAAATTGAAAATAAATTGATTTTGAAAGCAAGAGTAGAATTTGAAAATCAAAATGAAATTTTGAAAAATGATTTAGAGCTTTCAAAAATCAAAATAAATGATTTAGAAAAAGAAAATTTTGAGTTAGAAGTTAAGCTTGAAAGCTTAACAAAAGAAAAAGAATTAATTTCTAAAAACAACTTATTATGTTTAAAAATGGAAAAATGTGTCATAAGGAACATACTTGTACTTTGAAGAAAGGAAAACGTTTTAAAATTAGGCAAGTATGGGTTTCGAAAGGAACAAGGGACATTGAAACTAACGTTCAAGGATCCAAAGCAATTTGGATACCAAAATCTACTTAAATGTCTTTTGTAGGTGTGTGGGAGCAATGGTGATGAAAGTGATGATATTCAATATGCTCTAGCCACACATGAAAAGGAATGGGTAACCTCTAAGCTTAATGCTTTTAATTTTAGTTATTTGGTTGCTCATTTGATTTTAAGCATGCATGAGTTTTTGGTTTTAAATGATTATGCATTATTGTTTTAATCTCATGTATGTTGAAAAGATGTTTATGATGAACATTTTAAAGTTTTAATGATTTTTCAAAATTTTTAGTTCATTATAATAAAATTTTGGTCAAAATTGGTTTTAAATGCAATGATATCTCTCTAACAATTGATATCAAAAAATTTTCAAATGCATAACATTTTTATAAAACTTTATGCATATGTACTTAATTTCAACTATTGGTATTGCATAAAGTATTTTAGACTTGGCTATATTGAATTTCATGTGCTACTAACATGTTTGTTATTCTTTGTTGAAATTCAATTATGTTTAAGTGTCAAGTTTTTTAAAGTTAAATTTTGTTTGGAATGCACTTATTGAGGGGGAACTTTGATTTTTCAAATGATTTTTAAATGTCAAATTTATCACTTACTCTCCAATGTTATTTTAGAACTTTAAAGATTAAATTATTTTTGATATAACAAAAAGGGGAGAAGTTTTTGGTTTGAAAAGTTCAATTTCTTAATGAAAAAGGGGAGCTTAACATTTTCATATATTTTCCAACAATTGATATCCTTTTGTTAACAATTGGTATCTTTTTCATTAAACATTTTATTAAGGGGGAGTTTTGCCAAAAACAATTTTTCAAATGTTTTGTTATATCAAAAAGGGGGAGATTGTTGAATTTGTTTCGATATAACAAATTTAAGGCAAAAAGTTTTTGGACTTGAATTTAATTTATTCAAAGTTTTAAAAAATATTTCAAAAATAATTCAAAGTCCATTAAATTCGAATTTGAGCAAAAATGCTAAAGGGTATCCATACACTGGTGTACCGATACACCCTGTAAGTGTATCCATACACCTATGACTGCTCAAACACCGAATGCAAAAAGGGTACCGATACCCCTATGAGTGTATACATACACTGGTGTACCGATACACCCTGTAGTGTATCCATACACTCTGGCTGCAACGGCTAGTTTAATTTGAATTTAATGAAGGTGTACCGATACCCTATGATGGGGTACCGATACCCCCTGTTATGGGCAGCCTATTTTTGAAGAAAAATTATCCCCAACGGCTATATACGCTTCAAACTCATTTCAAGCTATAAATGCAAGCCGATGACACTTGAAGAAGTGTGAGAACAATTATCCAAGCAATCAAACACAAGAGAAGAAGTTTTTTATTCTTATTTTCATTTCTCTCTTGTAAATATTGTTCTAGTGAGCTTAGTTCTTGTAAACACCTACCTTTGAGAGGTTTAGTTGTTTACTTCTTTTATTCTTTTGTAAAGGGAAAGGTTCTAGTTGATCCCGTGAAAAGCTAGGGAAAGATTATAGTTTAGCCCATGAAAAACTAGGGAGTTTGTAAAGGTTATATCTTTTTCATATAAAAAGAAAGAACAAATTAGTGAATTTGTTGGAAAATCTTTGGTGAGGAGCTAAGGTAGTAGATGTAGACTTGGTTGAGAAGTCAAACCACTATAAATCGCTGTGTAATTTTCTATCTTTAATCTCCTTACTTTCAATTTATTTTGAAGTTCGTCTGGTAGTCTTCCATGTATTGGTGCTTTTATTTTTGTCTTATTGTGGTAACTTCCACATCTTGTATTTTTCTCTTTATGGTGACTTCCACGTCTTGTACTTTTATTTGTTGTTGCAGTCTTCCTTCTATTTAGGTTCTGACAATTTTTTAAAATTTTTGTCATGTTCACCCTTCTTATATGTTCTCTATATTCATTATTTCATATTCGTCCATAGATGGTGACAGAAGTGTTAACATTGTTCTATTCCACGTTAGCATCTTTTTGATTTCTTCAATTATGAAACAATGATGGTTTTCAATTTTCATATTTGCTATCTTTTTAATAGCAGTATGGACTCTTCATCAGATATGGTTTAGATACCTCCCACATCAGTTAATGCAATCTTTAGCTGACACTGCTTCCAAATAGGTATCCTAATGCTTTCACCGCAGATTCATCCACATTGTGGATGCTCCTAAAATCAATGAGCACCACCATTTTTCTACTGCAAAAGGTAGCTTGAATCCTCACAATATCATACCATGAAGAACCACACATTCATAATCGGGAACCATCAATCATCCGACGATAAAAAATAAGATGAACAATCAAGATTCAAACTAGTTAAGAAACTTTTTTCCCTTATTCTTTGCTTAATTTTCTAGATTAACAGGTTCAGATTAAAAGCAGAAGCAACAAAATCCTTCCATACTGATCACGAGAAACAACACACTGATTTCAAACAATTCAGTGAGAAAAACATGCAATGGTACAAGGTCTCTTCCTGTTCCAGTAGCAAGCAGTACCTCTGACTGCTGAGTACTGCAGCTGGAACCACCAAACAGTAACCTTTATATCGTTTTGTAGGGCATCCAGTGATCATTTTTTGTCTTCATTTGATGCTTGCTTTAGGAATGGACGATGTGCATGGCCCGGCAGAGGTCATAAATGGGATACCCTTGAATGTGGCAACACCTTTCTCATCAGTGAAAAGATTCTGCACCAAAGAGAATCAATTAAAACCCGAAGCAACGTATTCTGGCTGGATAAGAACACAAATGGTGATAGAAACCCAGATTTATAGGATCAAACATCCAGATTCCGAAAGTGTGATACTTGTAACAATAGTTAAATACTCCATCATTTTCCATTTCCACAATCTTATAGAAAATGTGAAACATACGCACCGGTGTTATTTTGTCCAACTGCTTCTTCTTTGGATTTAGGACATCTTCTGGCTTGCCATCAATCCTGAACAAAGAATACCAATATTTTTAATTTAATAGTGATACCGGGAGAAACTTCATCCCAACCAATACACACCTATCTCAAAGCCAAAGTACAAGCAAAAAGGAAACGGGGAAGATGTAGAGAAACAAGCGGTTAAAACTGGAAGAGAGCCATCTGCAGATAAATGAGGAAGTAACACAACCCTTTATGTCAAGGCTTGGATTTTTTAGTAGGGTTATCCATTTTAGACACTTTTCTTTTAAGCTTATAAACACATTAGGGTTTAACCTAGGAAAAACCTTTTATAAAAGTTAAACAATCTTTTACCATTAATTTTTGAAATGGTAGGTTTATTATTTATTTATTTTGTAAATCTAAAAGTAAATCACAGGTTGTGATACAAGTCAAGTCCTTTAATCTACTAGGAGGGTTGTCCCCACGTATATGCTGTAAATCTAGAAGTAAATCACTGCTTGTCAACTAAGCCTAACTTAAACGGTTAAACCTGATGACCCCTGATCAGTAGCTGAGCAAGGACCGACAAAAAACTAAGCTGGCTCAAGCAGAGGGTCTATTAATTGCAATCCATATTTCTTGCAATCTCGGATAATCTCACAAAAGCAAGGCTGTGAGATAATTGTGCAATGGATGCTTTTAATTTTACGGTACTCACAACATACTTACCCTGAAAATGAAATGCGTTCGCCAGGTTTAGACCCTTCAGGGGGCAGTAAAGGCTCTACAACGGAATGATCTTCATTAGAAGCACAAAGCACCTGAAAAGGAAGATTAAAAATATGAAAACTAGGCAACATCATGGCTTCAAATATATAAGCACGCAATCTAAGTCTAGTTTCAGAAACAGCAAACCAATCTTTCAGAAACAGCTAAGTCTGTTTATCTTGGGACTAACTGAGATCATTTAAGTAGCATTTGGGAAGTTGAAATTGTTAGATAGATGTCTATTTAGTAGTGAATTTGAAATTCCTAATATATTTTTGGATTTGAGAAATCCATGTTTTCACACTTTTCAACTATATATTATATTGATCATATTTATTTATCCATAATGTATGCATTTGATTTTTTTTTACCATTATCATAACAAATGAAATTCAATTCCAAATTTTCAAACTCATTTTTCCAAAAGAGCGTTATGAATTTAATGGACCGACTTAAAGGAAATTGTTACAGAGAAAAGAAAAAAGGAATCAAGGAATCACATTAAGTTGTGTACTCTAGTTCAGTTAGCTACCGAGTAAAAACAGGTATAAAATAAGCAAGTATGGCAGAATAAAGATGTGTATAGAAGTAAAAAGGGAAAAGTTATGGACATTTTTCAACTATCTCAGACAATGAAAGGATGCATCTTTTCTGAGATTCCACATAAGCACACGCACAAAGAAAACTGTTTATGTTGATCAAATGCCAAAAAGTATACCAGTCCCTCTGACATCACATCTCGTAGCTTTCCAGGTTTTACATTTGTGATCAGCACAACTCGACGATTCTTCACAGCACAAAAGCAAAAATCATGGAGAACATCAAATGTAAGCTCCAGAGTTTCATGAACCAAAAAATATGAAGATAAACAACAAAAGTCAAATAAACAAATAAAAAAAACATGCAGATAACTCCGGAAAAAAAAATACCGTTAAGTCTTCTGGCTTGCAATACTTGGCCAATCCACTAACCACCTGTCGCGATTTAGCTTCTCCAACATCTATCTCCTCAACCAGTAAACTGCATTTTTAATAAAATACATCATTCCACCAGTTTTGCATCTAGAAATCCATACATGAAAAATAGGAAACTTGAATATAAAGATAAAGAGGCACTTGAAAGTACACAAGACAAGTTCATCAACATACCTATCAGCAGATGGATGCTTCCATGCTTTTTGAATAAGACCAACCTGTATGTTCAGTAAACTGACACTGAGTTCTTTGTCTTTTTCAGCTGCTTCTTTTTCAGATTCTTTCTTCTTCTCTGGAGCGACTTCCTTATCTCCCTTGGCTTTTTTCTTGTTATCCTTAAATTGAAAATATGATTGTTAAAAAATTAACAGAATGAGAATCTAGAAAAAGCCTTGGCACTGATAATTAATGTATAAAAAATGAAAGGATCAACCTAAGAAAGGCGTCATTTATCTACCAGCCCTTAGCCTGTAACCAGTGGCGGATCCATAAATTTAAGAATAGGGGTCCAAAATTTTAATTTTCTTTTCTTAAAAATAATGGGTATGCAAAGATTATATTTTTTTTCTTTTTTCCTTAACACATTAAACTAAATTTAACCACTTTTCCAAAAGAATGGGGATGCACTTGGCCCTATGAGGGCTTAGTGCATCCGCCACTGCCTGTAACATTCTGATATCTAAACATCCTAAGAAACTATATCTTCCTCTTATTTCTATAGGATGTTAGATCATAAATTAAAAATAAAAAGGCAGCAAATAATTCTCTTGCAAATTATCTTACAGCAGAAAAGCTTTAAAAATAACCACCTGTTGTTATTAACTTATGGTTGTTAATTTAAGCAATAGATTACTCGAATAATCTCTAAAGCGCACAGCATTGAAACATTACAAGTAAAAGCTACAAGAAATTCTTGACAAGAATGTATACTAGAAATAAAGAAGAACAGCAAAATGGTACCCCGGAATCACTTTTCTTTGCATCTTTTTCAGCTTCTGGCTTGTTTGCAGTTTGTGTGTTTTGAACTGTCTCCTTAGAATTTGATTGTACTTCTGGCTTAGCTGCAGGCTTTGCTATCTGAAACCAGATATCTCATAAATAAACTCAAGAGTAATATGCTATCCTGAATATATGTAATTAACAACCTTCTGTAACCAACACAAAATGAAGGAGAGAGTGGTTGGGGAATGGAGAGGGTGGTGTAGATGTCAAGACTCAAGACCCCTCTACTTAATAAAGAAAACATGACATTTCAATTGATGCAGAAATTCTCTACCATATACACTTCAAAACCATCTACGGTGCTTTATCAGGTAAATAGAAACCCATAGATCACAGGAATATAGCAGACAATCTAGAGATAACTCACCTGAGGCTCAAAACCAGGCTTCTCCAGCAATATCTTTTCAAAAAGAGCACCAAGATCCTCTCTATTCTGCAATGATTTTAAAAGGTTTGTAAGCAAAGATTAGAATAAGGTATTCAATAGAATTAACTTCTTCTAAAAGGACCATGTATTCCTCCTCTGAGGCTCTAATTAACATCTTAGAAAACTAGGTAAGTGTTTCCATAAATCTTTTTTCAAAGGTAAACAAAGAAAAATAAGTGAACTTTTAAACAAGAGCAACCTTACCCCAAAAGGAAATATCAAGTTTCAATCCCCGCTTCCCAACTTGATTCTCAAATAGGCTACTAAAAGTCGTTATAAATGGAAGATGTGAATTCATGATAATAAAAACAAGGCTTAGATTGGAGTACCTACATGGCAACTGCATCATATCCTCAGCTTATACTTAGTAGCTAGGTAAAATAATGTTGATGCAATGTTAAGACCGAAGCTAAACTACAAGTTGGATGAAACCTCGAGAAAAAAATAGAAGAGGTTGTCCCATGTGATACCAGGCTGTGTTCAACTGATAAATCTATGTTTCAGATTCCTTCATAAGCCACCAAATAGCTTTCTCTATTGTATCCACAAAAACACTTGAAGGAAAACAAAATAATACCTGGAAAGAAGCTACCAAATGCAGTAGGTAGCCCAGCTTTCGTTATTTTTCATTCCATTTTCATACACAAAATTGAGATATCTGAACAACAGGGGGCTTAGGACTCTATATGGGACCAAAAGTTTGACATCAGATAATTTTTACCTCATTGGAAGAATATTATTTAGCCTCTTTATTTCCAAAGTATGGATGTCTTTGTTTTATAGCTAAATAAAGCTATTATAGGTCAAACACATTGTTAAGCCATTGAAGAAGCCCATCAAAATTATAAGTTCAAAACAACAGAAGATGTTTCTACCTGGATATAATCCATCCATCGCATCAAATGTGGCAGTTTCTCCTTCTCTGGATTTGAAAGGCCAATCTGCCAAAAAACAAGTACACCACGTAAAGTCTATCAATTCTTCACAAAGGAATTGCGTCATTGAGTAAATAGCAATTAGCACCAGATCCCCTCTCTTTGACACAAAATGTAAACAGTTATACATACCAATGAACTATGTATGACTGAAAAAACAAAAACATCAGCTTCCGAGGGTGTAAATCCATTGCCCAAAAGTACAGACTTTTGAGCCAAATCACCGTTTAATTCATTCAAACGACCAGAGCATGCCTTAGAATCACTGGGAAAGCTCTCTGCAAAAGCTATCCACTTCATCACCTACAATGAAATTTAAACTTTTGTATCAAGGATCAATACTGAACCTGTTTAGGAAGAGTATATATCACAGCAGAAAAAATGTAAGAGATAAATTCTCCAAGTCAAGTCAACTCAAATTTATGAATGCGCTTTTATAACAATTGGGACGTATCATTTCACAAATAATTTGTACAAGTATATCCTTCACAAATTTAAAGGACCTCAGCTTCTACTTCACTAACACTAACGTAGGTTGTAAATTACATATTGTTTTCATGCAAAAGGCTAATTATACATTACCTCATCACAATTTTGTGGAGATTCCTTCCCTGCTGACTTCAAAATGCTCGTATAAAGGGTCTTAATATCATTTCCGGGGACTTGACTTGAAAAAGACTTCTGCAAAATAAAATAGGAACTTATAAGTTATATAGCCTTCAAAACCGGCACATAATTAAGGAACCAGAAAAATAAAGTAGATCTCAATTGATTATAAATGTCAGCAAAAGTTAGCAAATTACATGGTTATGTAAGCATATTTCAATTCTTCTACACGTAATAAGCTCACTACCCAAGCAGCACTCAACATCCAAAAGCAATATAAGGAAAGGATGACCGAATTAAAGCAAAACCCGTTTCATAAAAGCAAGTAAATCACAATAAAAACTTCTTCGGGTGAAAACGAAAGAGATGTACTTAACATCGCAAAGCTAAAAAAGATATATGGAACAAAATAATAAAAATAAATGATTTCATTTTACTCACGGGATCTAAAGAGAAGTGTTTGCAAAGAGATGATACTATTGCTTGCTTCCTTTTGAGATCGCCATCTCCATTGGTTGCCATGTCTGGATTTTCTTCCCTTTTTTTTCCTTTAAGAGTTGCTTAGACTGAGAAACAGACGTAGGGTTCTGGTGGGTTGATGAGCGTTTTCAGTTGAACAATAATAAATCCAAGCTCATTGAAATCTTGAGAAAAGAATTGATTGGGGTCGGCCTGCTTCCTTGATAGAGTGGGCCTCGCTCCTTTCCAAGCTGCACGTTGCAAATTTGCAACCTTTAACTAGTTTGCAGATCTCAAGTTGCTGGGTTATTCTAGGGTTTTATTCGGGATGGTCATGGATGGATCGGGTTTTGGACTTATCTAAATCCAAATCGAAAAGTAAATATTTTTATCCGTATTTGATCTGATTCAGATTCAGGAGAATTTTACGTGAATCTTTGTTTTTATAAGTGAAAACTCATACCCAATTTCGATGCAATATGCACACGCACACGCACACGAACATACACCTGCATATTAATGTACACCCACGTCTACAAGCCAACATACACTTCTTTCTACTCTGCATAATTTCCAAATTTAATTGACAAAGAAGCATGCATGAATTTCAATAACTTTGTGTAATAATAAAATAATACAAGTCAAGTGCACACTTATTAATATTTCGACTATAAGATTGCAATTTGCAACCTATATTTCTAATAAAAACTCAGGACATTAAAACTAATAAGAAAATTACAAATCCAAATTTTGTGTCAAGTTTTTATTTAAAAGAATTCAAAGCACAATAGAAAAACATTTAAAGGTAATCCAATATTTATAAAAAAAATAGAATTTTATAAAGAAAAATGGATTGGAAGGTCCAAAATTATACCAATGGAATTATATATGCTATATTCTGAAGAATAAGAAAATACTTCTGAATTTATCTCGCCCGTTAATAATTTTAATTTTGATTTGTTGAGCAATAACTTAAGCCTTCAATAAAATACTTCTCGTAGAATATCAATAGATGTTTCAACCCATTATTTTCGATAAAGAAAAAAAATGAAACATTACATTATCTTATAAATCATGACATGAATTTGAGCTCTCTATCTATGAAATAAATAATAAAAAAATATTTCTTTTTTATTCTTTATTGGTTCTTTTTCATTCCTATTCTTCTTTCAGATATGAAAAAACCACGAAGGGGCTTAAACTAAAAAAATAGTAAAGGATTATTTCGTTCTTGATAGTCATTTCTTTAATCGGCGGATAGGAGCGTACTCTGGACCGGAATCATGGGGAGTACGGCCTAGTCATTTCTACAAATTTTAATCCCCAATTAGTATTCTTTTTTATGTTATCCATAAGTCTCTTTTTATATAATTTACATAATCCTCGCTATTAATCCTTTATGTATTTTGGTAATTTCTCTATCTATTCTACAACCATACGAGATAAATACTATTGATTCGGTCCTTAAATTTATAATAAAATATAGAAATTTTAAAGGTAATCCAACTTAGTGAATTTGATATTTATCGTGGTTAAAATAATGAATGTAAATTTGATTATTAGATCGAATCAATTTAAATCTTTTGGTAAATTATTTATAATTTCATAGCTTTCACAAATTTTTAAAGAGTTAATTCACTCCCTCTTAATATTACTTGGTTGATCAATCGAGTTAACATTTTGTTTCTTCTTAGGTGATTTGTCTTAAAAATAAATATAAGAGATTGTTGTAGGTAGGGATGTAAACGAGTCGAGTCGAGTTCGAGTATTGTTGAGCTCGAGTCGAACTTGAAAAGTTTAAAATTAAGCTCGACTCGACACGAAAACTCGCGAGGTAAAAATTATCAAGCTCAGCTCGAACTCGAAATATTATATTGAAACTTGACTAGAACTCGAAAAGGCTCGAATTCAAAAAAAAATTAGTAGCTCGATTGAAGCTCAAACTCAAACTCGAATTTGAACCTACAAAAATCTTATATTACATTTAAAAAATATATTTTCAAATATTTATAATTATCAATAATGTATTTTTTATATATTTTTAATAATGTAATTTTAAAAAATCTAAAATTATAATATAACATTTTTTCGAGTAGCTCAAGAGTTTTTCGAGTCGAGTATTAAGTCTCGTTTTAGCTCATTAAGAATTCGAGTCGAGTTCGAGCTCAAGTCAAGTTCATTCGATTCAAGTGTTGATCAAACTTTGACCGAACCGATCTCAATTAACTATCGATGTGTCTCGTCTCATTTACAATCTTAGTTGTAGGGTTAAAATTCGTCCTTAAAGGTTTAAATTATTATGAACTTAAAAAAAAAACTTTCTTTTAAATAAAGGTAATAATGTAGACGATTGACACCGAACCACTTTGTTCGTAGTCTATATTTCTTTATTGTTTTCATCAAAAAATTTAAAAGTTAGTTTATTTCTTCTTGACATATTTTTATTGTTTGATTGAATTAATATATAAATATTATTATTATTTTATATAATAGTACACAAAGAATAACACACACTTATAATGATATTATTAAACTGAGGTGGTATTAAGCTTACTTATAATGTTTGTAAAGTAAATTTATAGTTGCTTCAAGAGAAGAAGTGATATATATATATATATATAATAGTTCCTTTTAATAGGGTAATTTATTCATTTTATTTAAGTAATTTTGGGTGATTATAATATAATATTTATTTAATTTTTAAAAAACTAATGAATAGGTACACACATTTTGTAAATATAATTATTCGAATCTAAATCATCTAATTATTTTTTTATTTAAATAGTCTTTAAAGAATTTGATAGTTTTACATTTTTTAAACTATATGTGTTTACATTAGTTTAATTTATTTTCATTTTATAGTCTTACATCCTGCATAAAATGATTAGTGTTGTGAGAAATACTTCCTAGATCAAAGCATTTAATGGAAGAAGATGCATTTAAGGTAAATTACACCACACGTCATTTAACTATTGATAAAAGTTTAAATAGGTCACACTATTTTAAAAAGTTATAAAATAATCATTCTATTTATCTATTATAACATACAAATCGTTTTATCATCAAGTATGTAATAGACATTATCTATTATAACATATTAAAATTTTATTAATATAATTGTCACTTAATAAAATATTTTAACATACAAATATTTTTTTAATTAACATAATGTGTTTACAAGTAATAGTATATGTTTTTTTATAAATATTAGTGGGTAAAATTTTAATTTTTTATAAATATTTTAAGTTTAAATTAATTATATTATTTCAGAAAATATTTGAAATATATTATTGATGAGTTTTTTTTTCATTATCTTAAAATGTAAAATAGTTATTAAAAAAGAAGAAGAAGCAAATGATCAGTCCCTCTCAAAACAGGGCAGCCAGCAGCAACAGTCAGCTCCCAGTTCTCACTTTAATTGCACACTTGCTTTTCTTGTCCACTGCTTTCTCTTTCTCCCCTTTCTCCCATTTACCATGCTGCCCTTTGAAAGTTTTTATCAATTTGACACAAATTCAATTATAAAAAATTCCAAATATTTTTTTTGTATTGATGATGATTAATAATTTTATAAATATTTTAAGTCTTTTTATATTTTATAATTATTAAATGAAACAATTAAAAAACATTACTTGAGAATTAAACACATAGCTAATAACTTTGTATATGAATCTTTATCACTCCATCTATAATTATTTATTACTTAATTGTTATAAATATATTTTTTATATAAAATATTTTCCTATATTAAAATAGAATGATTAAATTGTACATAGTACATGGATTAATGATATAAATTTACTATATTTTAAAAAGATTTATAAGCACATCAATTTCATATATAATATTTGTAGACTGAGGAGTCTATTGTTTTCATATGTTTGCAAGAAAGAAAATGTTTGTTGGGTGATTATTATTTTCACATGGTGTAACAAAAGTTTGTTGCCTTAGTACTTTATGAATCATAGTGTTTGCATAAAAAAATACTATTTATTGTTGGTGAAATTATTAAATTAAAATTCATAAACAAAATAATAACTCCACATGCACCCTTTAAATGCTATTGAAAACTTACAAATTAAGACATGAAACAATAATTTAATTTAACTAAAATTATAATTTAAAATAAAAAATATTTTAACAAATTTTCAACTTAGTTCCTGAGTAAAACTACATCTCGAATATAATCCAGACAATTACTTACTTCATCCCTTTTACATATAACTATATAATCTAAAAAATAACAAATACGACACCAACCTAGGGGAGGAGGTTGCCACTTGCCAACGGATAAACTTCATCGGCCGTGTATTTTTATTAAAATACGATTATTATTAAAATTATCTTTTTATAAATTTGAGGTAAATACAAGATAATAACAATTTAAAAACTCTACATCATTTAACATCATACTCATACCCTAACATACGCGATGCTCAAACTTAAAAACTCAAGGTATAATAACAATCCTTTAACCACTGAGGTCACCTAATTCGTGTGTATTGAAGATATAAATATCACAAATAAATATCTTCTTTAATTCGCTTTGTGGAAGTTACAAAATGCTCTGCAGAACTTTCGTTAGATGAAAATCGTTAGTCAACTAACGATCAACGCATGGTGTTGATCAAACAAGAACACGTGGACCCAGATATTGATGTGGCATGTCCAAGTCATGATAGATGATGACATGGCATTGTTACATCAGATTTTTAAATAAAAATTAAAATATTATTTTAATATTTATTTAATATTTTTTCTAATGAGATAATGACACATGTCAATATATATTAGTTTAAATTTAAACCAAACAAAACATTTTTTGTGGGAGTTGAATCTGGGTCAAATGCTTGAACCCCATCACCTAACCACCAAGCCAACTCTTTCATTTGTTTATTTTTTGCATTACAAAATATTTAAAATATATGTTATGTCTCTCACACATTTTATCAAACACCTTCTTCATCACTCTTGACATGCAATTTCTTCTCCCTCTATGTGATTTTGCACAATGCATCTCTCCCTGTAAAATTTGGAGGTGCTAATATGGGTTTATAGAACTTATCTTACAACAAGATTTCAGGGCCAATATCAGCAGGTTTTGCGAAGCAAATTCCTCATAAAGCTACCATTGATCTCTCATTCAATAAATTAACTGGTGCA